GATGGAGGACGGGCGGGAGAAGCTGAAGCTGCTCACCTACGAGGAGGAGGCGCTGCGGCGTCACAACATGCGGCCGCTCTCCAGGTGCGGGCCCGAGGGCGCACCAGCGCCCAGCAGGGCCCGAGGAGCAGGGCGGGGGGAGCAGGGCAGGGGCTCTGCTGCTAGCGGCGCCCGCCATCTGCTCCTCCTCCTTCTCTTCCTTCTCCTCCTTCTGGTACGGGAAAACTGGGAAATTCCGCTGCCTGTGGGGAATTGGGGCCCAGTCCTGTCAGGGCGCACAGCTGGGGAGGGGAGGGAAACCGCTTCGGAAGCTCTCATGGCGTCCCCTGTGCCCTTACCGTGTGCTGTCACTGGAGGCAAAGGCTTCAGCGGCCGTCTGTGCCGTGGGAGCAGGCGCCCCTTTGCGTTGCGGGCCCGGAGTTTGTGCGGGCACGTGGGAAGGGCTGGTGACTGGGGGCTTCACGAGTGCTGGCTGCTGCAGGCCAGTGGGCTATCATCTTGGTCGCGCTTGTGGTGCCCACGTCTCAAGTTTGGCTGGGTTAAGACTTGTAGGTGTTGGAGGCATAGCATGAAACTCTTGACTTAAAAGTTTGTAGCCTTCTTGGTTGCAGTGAAAAGCATCAAAACGTGACAACGAATATGCACATCAAAGATGCTAAATCCAGATGTTAGTAGAAAGAAATCCCAAAATCCCAAGTATTCTAATTCTTCTTTTTTTTCCCTTCCCCTCCTCTTTTTTTTTTTTAAATCTATTTAATTCCTCATTTTGGGCTATAGTAAACAGCCCCATAGATCTTGCAAGAAGTCTTCACATATCTCACATAAATGATACCACCGGGTTTGGCGTCTTATTTAAGGCAAGATAACAATTATTGGAAGACAAAAATTATATTAGCAAAGCTGAACACGTTCAACTTGATGGTTCTGGCTTTCTATGTTGGTTGTTATGTTTAAAATACACAATGTCAAGAGGCTGGCCTACAGATGTTTTTAAAGATGAAGAATTATTATTAAGATTGGTTTAAAAAACTGTTGTCTGTTCATAGCTGTGGCATATCACAGTTAACACTTTAGATTAAAAAAAAAATCCTGCTTTCAGTCAAGGTGGGAGTGCCTGTTGTAACAGCATATTTATAAAGACTTTTAAGGAGAATGAGGGGGATGGAGGACGTACACCAGAAGTTAGGACAGGAAGATGTGAGAATAAATACATTAAATGTAATAAAAATATAAAGCTTTTAAAAACTTACTTTTATGCTCTGTAGGGGAAAAGGAAAATAATTTAAATTTCTTTACTTGGTGATGACATTTAAAACTACAGTCATTTCATATCACCAGAGAACTTGTGATGATTTTTGTTAGAGCATGAGGTTCACTCATTGCATGGTCACTTTTTTCTGCAAGTATTTTGAATATCAGTTTTAGCACAAATGCTACTTGATTTTCCTGCTACTTACAGATGCAGGAAGAAACAAAAGCTGAAGGCCACAGTTGCTTTCATAGGCACAGTTGGTCACATAATGAATACAATACTGTGGTTTGTGCTGTGGTTTCAGTGATAACTTGCAGTGAAAACATTATATTAGATCAAACAGCTCTTGTTAACTTCTGTTAGCACCTGAGTGTATTTTTTTTTTATTAGTCAGGTAGGTGTATTTGTGAGAGGCCTGGGACCCATTGTTGTTTTAAGTAAGTCTAACTTTCCATCTCTGGTGTATCTTTATTGCATATATAACAAAACTCTTTTTTTAAATGATGGCGCCAGAGAGACGTTTAGGAAAAGGACTGATGTGACCGCAACATTCATCTGCCCCAATGACTTTCAAATCTATCAGACAGTTTCAGCTAGGTTTGATAGAAGTATATCAAACAGGTATATTTTCTAAAACCAGCAGTTGTTAGGGGAAAAAAGTAGTCCAAATTAGTCTCTTGTTAAGAGAGAGTCTAGAGTATGAGCTCAGCTTTTATAAGCTGTTTTTAGGCAGCTGTCTGACCATCAGTATATTTTGGGGAAGGAAACGGACACAGGCTTTGTCTGCTTTAGTGAGTGACCGTATCGTAAAGGGAAACAGTTGATTCTGCGTAACTGGTGCCCACGCTACATGCGTTTTGCGGGACTAACTGTAGTCTGATCGTGTGGACTGAATTGTTCCAGCCCACGAAACGCGCTCTTGGACCACATCTTTCAATTTACCTTCATCCAGAATAAGCCTAGTTTGTATACCCGCTCTGTAATGTGACCCAAAGCACAGTAGGTGGGGGGGATAGCGGAAGAAACGCTTCAAAAGCATGCTTGCGATCTGAGCTTATACGCTTACTTAGCTACACCTTCTTGCTCACGTGGTAGTTGAGGGGCATGGGAAGGGGAAGAAGTTTGGGGGATTTTGAAATAAAAGGAGCTGGATGTATTGCTGTTGTCAGGAAGAGTCACTGGGGATGTTAAGGAAGGAACAGAAGGTAGAGTTACTGTGGTATAGGACAGTACGCGGACAGAGGTCACATCTCTAGGCAACCAGGCTTCGTGAAGTTTGTTCTCTCTTCCCCACAGAAGTGCCGTTCAAGTTGTCGTGCGGTCACTTGGAGGAATAAAATAATCTTTATATAACATGAGAGAGGATATTCATATGACCCAAATGCAGATACTTTTCTTTGAGCTGTTTGTCTAGACCCCTTTCACTGGGGAGAAATAAGTATTTCTGAAGCATTTTTCAACTTACTCTAAAGCAAATAAAAGGTAGATGAGACAAATCCACCCTGGCTTCCTGTGTCATGAGTACAAGCATAAAGCTTTAGCAGTAGATCATGTTCATGTCGTTTTTTTAGAGTAGGCTATTTGTGACAGTAGTTATGAGGCCATTTTGGTAACCTGTTCATAGGATGGTGCTGAATTTAACTTTTCCCTTGAACTTTAAGTCCCTTTCCTTGTGAAAAGTGGCTGAGATTAAACAAAGCCAGCTTGTCTCATTCAAGGACAGTAAGGTATTGGAGATCGTGGGTCTTGGACTTCTGATTCTTTTGAGCTTTTAAAAATGTGTTATGCTGTGCAAGTAACATTCAAATGACTCTTTTGTGTAGAACCTGAATTGCTTGGTGACATTTTATGGAATGATGGGGTGCATTCTGCATCCCCAAAAGTCAGTGGAAACAAAATTGGGCTCAACTCATTTCATGACTGTTCACATAAATTAGAGGAGTAACTTGGTTTTATATGGAAATGTTAATTCAGTGGTGTTTAACTGAAGCTGCCTAACCCTGCTGGCAGGGAGGAGGAAGGCCCAGTTTCCCTTTGGTTCTAAGTCTGTGTTGGCTAATTGCTTATTTTAAGCAGGAAATAAAAGAATTGTGTGTAGAAAATTTACTTTACTGCAGTAGTATGCAAAACTAGACATCCTGAATTTAGTTCAAGTGGCTCTCACTGAGAAACTGCTTTCCTAGCCTGTGCTGACCTGTAATGTTAGAATTGCTTCAGGAATGCAAAATATCTTTATTTACCCTTTTTTCCCCTTTTTAAACAGGCACTACTTTGCACTGCCCACTAATCCTGGTGAGCAGTTCTTCATGTTTTGTACACTTGCTGCTTGGCTGATCACTAAAGCAGGACATCACTTCGAACAGCCACAAGAATATGATGATCCCAATGCAATAATATCAAAAATACTCTCAGAACTGCGATCATTTGTAAGTGTTGAACGTGCTGTCTTTCCAAGGGTATTTCAAGTAAGTGCATCATTGTCAGAAATAACAGTAATCACATTTCCTCCCCGTCTGAGTATATTCACAAGGATTAAACAGACTTTATCCTTTCTGTAAGTTTGTGAGATGCTAATTAGTTAGTTAGGAGTTTATAATATCTGTACCTACATGCTAAATTTTGGCACTACAAAAATGGTCTTATAGTATTATATGTGGTTCTAATTAGTTTGTTCCGTAGTCTTTAAAATGGATTAAATCAGGTTCACTTCCTGTACTGCCGCATATATAGTAGTATAATTAACAGAAGTTTTATCTTCAAGATCTGCCCAGTGCTTATGGTTCTGTTCCTGCTACTGAAGTGAATGGTATAACTCATAGTAAAGAAAATGGTTTAGATTTGGGTTCATATTTTGTTTTTTGTGTTTTTATTTATTTATTTATTTTGAGTTAAAAGTTGCATAAAGTATCAGGAGCTATCGGGATTACTTTCAATAGTTTTTAAAAAAAAATCTTAGGGTCAGGAGGGTATATCTACTTAAGGGGGCTTCCTAAGGGAGAACTCAGTAAGTACTCTTCGAAATGTACAATTGAATAAAAAATCAAAACTGAAATAGCGTAAAATATTTAGAGTATGATCTTACGGAAGATTTTACTGAAACTGCACTTCTGAATGATGTTAAGTACACTGTTTTTCTAAAGGAGCAAAACTGTAACATAGTAAGAAGTTCATTCTGCAGGACACTAATAAGTTATCTATAAAATCTGGAACAAGCAAGGCAACGTTGAAAAGTTGCTGTTTGAGTCGCAGTGCCTGATTTCCTCCTTTGCTGTTCCTACCTTGCCAACGTGTCACTTACCTGCTTGACCGTCCAGCTCCCTTGCAGCTTCTGACTCTTCTGCTCCCTGTGGGTATCCTCTTACTGGGTACTTTAAGATTTCTGCAGTGCATCTATTCCTTGGATTGTTCTGCCTTCCCTTTTGTGGCCTGACTGGAGTTGCACAGGGGAAGGATACAAATTAAATTGGTAAATTCTTCATATAAAGTGGACACTTCAGTGTTAGTGTGGGGAAAAAAAAAAAATCTGGTTACCTTCCCGAGAGGAAAACCGGACTGATGGATAGCAATTAGTAAACAGCATTATCTCTTTCTTTTAGGGAAGGCCTGTGGATTTTCCTCCCTCAAAATTAAAGGCAGGTTATGGAGAACAAGCATGCTATGTTCTTGACTGTTTAGCTGAAGAAGCCTTGAAATACACTGGCTTTAGCTGGAAAAGGTATAAAGTACACTTTTAAGACTCTTCCCTTATACATCGTTTTCCAATGAACAAAAATTGTAATTGTAAAGGATAGCAGACAAAATGTGGTAGTGACAGGAAATGTTTTATTTGATATTTCCATAAGATTCAAAGCACTAATTCGGCTAGGCTTGAAGGACTGGGTTAAATTAATTTCGAATGCAGATTCACACAGTTTATTGGCATTACCGGCAAGGATGAGTTTGGGAAATTAATAGGCTAAATTAATAAAAGGTTGACTGATTACCTATTTTTGTTCATTTCCCTAAGCATATCTGTTTGCTAATCTAAGAGTTGCGCTGAAACATACTAATATCCCTTTAGGTCCCATCAATCAATAGCTAAATTTTTGACCTGTTCAGCTGGAGGTGTGCACACTAGTTGAATCATATTACAAATAGACTACAGTAACTTTGAGTATTTAATCTGAAGGAAATATCAGGAGAAACTGGATGAAGAATAATTTTAAGTATATGAAGATTTGTTTACAACTGCTCTTTATTTCATCCCCTCCCTCAGATTGATTTTGACAGGGTATAGTAAAGTAATATTTTGGAGATATTTTACTGTTATCTATATTTAGTGCCTGGATTTCATCTCTAAGGTAAAAATGAGTCTGTCAGACTTGCACTTGAATTTTATAAAGTTAGACCAAAAGAGACAATGAATCAAAAGTTAATCCCCAGGTGTATTTACAGTACAAATGTGCTGTACTGCTTAGCATAATAATCAGCCCTCGCTTTGAAGACTTAAGTTCAAGATAAACAAAGACTGTGAGACTGAATATTAATTTTACCTGTTTAAATATGTGAGAGACTAATCACTGTCTAGTCAAATTCTGCATCATCCATATGTCTCCTGAAGTCTTTTGTTTGATTAGGAGCAATTTACAGAATAACTTCGTATTAACTGTGTTTAAAAGCTGGTGGTCTTTGAACATATTTCAGACCAGTATATCCTACAGAAGAGCTAGAAGAAGAAGAAATAATAGAAGATGATGCAGAACTAACCCTTAATAAACTGGAAGAGGAAGTCGCGGTAAGTTTACCTGATTGGTTTTGATTATATGAGTACTGATCAACTCAGGGAATTTTTGCTCGCTGTTCATTTTGTCTGGCTTTGTTTAGGAAGTTTTTTCTACTGTCTGTTGTTCCCTCACCTTTTTTTCCTGCATCTTCTTTCCTGCATCATCAGCTTCTCTGTAGAATTTTCTGCTTCCCTTTAGATAAGGTTGTAAACTCATCAGGAGTCCTAATTAGATTTATAGTTAATATTAAGTGTCGTGGTATCTAAAAATACATTAAAATTACATAGATTCAGAACTGCTTATTTCCTACTGACACAAGCTATTATTGATGTGAAATGGCACTTCAACCAAGCCCTGCTTCCAGAATGGGCTAATATTTGTTTAAAAAGTTGCTCAGCGCTTAATTATTGGAGAACAGACTTTTCTGTAAATACCAGACAGTAACTTTGACACTTCGTTGATCTGAAGATTTGGGAAGAAGGTAGGTGGAAAAGATCTCCTCCTAGAAACTGAGGATTTATTTAAAAATGCCTTCAATGACCTAAACAAAAGTTACAGAATTGTTTTTGTAGGGTAATAGAATGGCATTTCTTCACAATGTATTCCATGAATAAAATGTTTATATCCTGTCATCCGTTCAGACTGCAGAATAGGTCTTTCTTTGTGCTCTAATTACCATGACAGGTGTGATGAAAGAAGCATAAATTATTCCTGTGTCCTATAGATTATAGTTTGAAGAGCAGCTTTGAAATACCTTTTTTCTACCAAAATGGCAGTGTTGGAGGATCAACTTTTTGTGCTAGTTTAACTGTAATAATTACAGTGAATTTGCCTTGCCTGTGAGACAGCCTATGAAATAAGGCTATAAGTTCAAATATGTTTGTAGGATTTAGTGATGGATTTAGTGATGGATGGACGTTGAATAGAAGTTTTGTTGCTGATTGACTTTCTGAGAGTTGGAGTCTTGCTTTCTGCCATCTAGTGGCTTAATGTGATCGCAAGGCATTTTCATTTTCACAAGCCTCTGTTCATGTCCTGGAAGTACATCTTTTTACTGCTGACTTAAATCAGACTTTTCAGCAGGGGGAAGCTAGTTGAAGATGATTGAAGTGAATATAACAAAGAAGTTAGTGTCGCATCTGACATAGCTGAAAGTTCATGATTCCACACAAAGTAAATGTGGATCACAAACCAAAATAGTTAAAGCTGTGCCTGAAGAGCGCTCGCTTGCTGGGTCAATAGATTATATGAGGGCAAAAGATTTTTCTGGAGTCTTAAGCACAGCAATACTGGATAGGATATTCCAAAACGTCATTTTTTCTCTCCAGCTTTTTCAAGTGCTTAGGAACGGTTGAAGGCCACAAATGTGGCAACTGGTGTGCCAGTAACATTGTCATATGGCCCTGAGTGCGGCCACAATAGTCTGCAAAAATGTAGCCTGAAGAGATTGCTTCTCTTCCTCCTTTCTCCGCAGTTTTCTTACGAATTGCCTTATTTTTCTCATCTTTATTAGCCAAGAAAAATTCCAACCTATTCTTAAATTTCGTGCAGTATGCAAATACTGGGATATGGGTGTCAATATCTGGTTGCATTTTTATTTACTTTGAAGTCCCCACAGAAAAAATCTGAATAATTCTGAGAATGATAAGAAGCATTCTATATTGCATGTTTGACAAGCCTCAGTGCTATTGGCTAGAAGCTTTAAATATGAGAACAGTCAACTGCCTGCTCTTATTTGCATCTTGTTAAGATCTAAGCTATTTAAATGGGGAAGTGGGGAAGAAACAATTAACTAAAGCACAGATGAAACCCTTCAACGAACCTCTGTGTTTGCTCTGAGATTGTGTCTGAGACCATGGTTTTCACTACCATTCCATGAGATCTTTGAAGTTTGTGTGTTGGTAAAACCACCAAACTAGATTTATGCCATGCAGGTAACCGCGTTTTGGAGCCCCTTTTGGTTCTACAGGGTTTAATTATATGCTGTTAGAAAAGGGATTTAATTTGGCTCTAGCCCAGCTTAGCACTAGTGCCTAAAGTAGATGAAGCCTGCAGGCCACAGGAGTGAATTGTAAATGAGCTCGAAAGACATCGCTGAGGATGCGACTGCAAAAACAGCTAGAACCAGCCCTCAGAGATACAGAACAGAATGAACGGAGGTAACTGTTAACCTTCGGATAAAATACAGAACACGATGGTCAGAGGTAACAGCTGACCTTCGGATAAGATAAGGTGCTGTGGAGCAGGAACATAGCAACCGTCTAGCAACCATCCCGGGATGTAGATGTGAACCGACCGGAGGGAGACTACCGACTCAGTAAAGAAGACTGGAAGAGACTGTCACTGGCAGGTGGGAAGATAAAGCTGTAAGGAGTATAATTATCCCAGAATTTCTTTGTTTGGGGTCCCTCCTCAGAAGCACCCAGCTGGAGCTATTACTTTGCTCTACTATCATTTAAATAAATAATTAATTTTGTTGCTAGACGTACACGAGACTGTGCTCCTCGGAAACTTAGGATCGAACTGTTTCCATAACATAGTGATGTAATAATTTATTTTTGCTGCCAATATATTGATACATGTCTTGAATATATTACCTGCACGCGTAATTGAATTTAGCAGTATTGCTAGTGGTTAAAAGTTAATGATGAGCTTCCTCTGTTGTTTTTCTGTTCTTGTTTCTCTCAAATAAAATTGATGAGGCTGATAGGGACATGCTTAGTTCCATAAATCTTGGGGAACTAGGTGAACAGTAGCTAGCCTAGACAAATCTGTTTAGTTTTCATTTTCAGTTCTGATAACTACACTTGCCTGTTGTTGTGATGTTGTTGTAATACCTTCTTCTATGTGCTGCACAAGTACATATTCTTTTGTATAGCAAAAGATAGTCCCAATCTAGTCACCATTAATTTCTTGCAGAATTGGGAGGCTAAGAGCCAAATATGCCAGAAGAAAATAAGCTAACGTAGAATAAGTGGTCCTGGTTAGTTTAAAAACTAGGTAGAGACAGGGACTAAGCTCCCAGGTTTTCAGAGTCCTGAAGGTGTCTGTACAAAGACTTGTACTATTGCTGCATACAAAAATTGTTTAGGAAAAAGGGCAAATAATGAAAGTTGACTTCAGAGGAAGAGACAAGGGCTGACTGAGAAGAACTACGTAAGGTCAAACTGCACGAGGGTGATATGTGTGATAAAATGACGGGTGAAGTTCAGTATAGATAAATGGAGGGTAACACATGGGGAAAAACATCTTCGATTTTACCTATGCAGTGATGGGTTCTGAGCTGATCATGATCACTGAGAAATGTCTTGAGGCTGTAATAGATAATTTTACAAAACCATCAGCCCCGTGCTCAGTCGTGGGCAAGAAAGCCAATTGATTGCTTGGAGTTATTAGGAAAAAAATAGACTGAAACTGAAAGCATCATTCTGGACATCCATAAAATACAGCATCGTTCTGCAAATCTAAATCCATGACGTAAACCACATCTTGAATACTGTGTACAAGTCTGGCTGTTCTTATTTCTTTTAAAGGCAAAGTTTTAGGGCTTGGATGCACCAAAATAGTTCTATGGTACTGTAACTTCTCGATAATGGCCCATTTCATGTTTTTTGTTTGGTTATTTTTTTTAATCCTTTAGCACCTTCAGGGAAATGTGAGGTAGTTTGCATCAGCCTGCTTGTACCAAAAGGTACTCACAAGATTTTAAGTAAATGCAAGCTCTGTTTCCAAAAACTCTCCATGTTTTGTTTTGTTTTGTTTTTTTCAGAAATTTGGAATTTAATACCCCTTTTGCTATGCTCTTGCAAAACGAAAATTTTGAAGAAAGACTATGCGATAATTACTGAGGTCTTACGTTGCAACCTTTTTTTAGGAAGAAGAGTCAGACAATGAAGAAAACTTCATCGATCTGAATGTTCTAAAGGCACAGACTTACAAGTCGGTAAGTTGTTACTCATCAGTCATCCCATAAGAGATCTTACATGTTTAGTTCCAATTTATTTATGCTGAATTTAAGTCTGAAAATACTTATATAGTCTAAACTTGAAAAATATTCCAACTGAAATAAATCTGCTTATTTTAAAAGAAAGATATACATCCAGTTTCTAAAGTGATCTTCCTGCAAGGATGCTGGAAACATTTGCAAGATGTTTTTACAGAGACTGTTAAAGAAATGTGGCATTCATGTCTTAAATACATTTTTATTGTTTTTCCCCTGTTATTTCTGAAATCTGTTATAATTTCTTATCATATGCATTTCTTTTAAATTGTAAGTATGTTCAGAAAAGATGCTTATTATTTCAATCCCTAATCTTTATAAATTCAAAGAAATTCATTAAAAATTCAGTTATATCTGTAGTTCTAGATCTTTCTGGATATAAATGTTTTAATGACTGTGAACACTGTAAGGCGCTATAATGTGGTTTCTAACAGTTCTCACTATGTAGAACGATCAGCTCTTATATAAAACTTTGAGGTTGATTGGTTTGTTTTTAATGCAGGACATAAGTTACTCTGTAAAGCAAGAAGAGATTTTAGAATCCACGACAGATGCAGCAGAGTGGAATCTGGAAGTGGAACGTGTACTTCCACAGCTGAAAGTTACGGTCAGGACTGACAATAAGGTATGTGAGAGTGGATTTGTGTGTGTACGTGAAAAAGTGTGACGTGAATCAGCGTTGTTGATAACCACTTTTCCATTTGTGTTTATTCTCTTTTTTTTTTTTTAATCATGTCCAGACTTGTTAATAATGATATTATCATTATTAATAGTCTTCTAAATAATAATCTTCTCCAAGGCTATCGTGTCAGAACCTTTCTTGCTTACTTTGACCCTACAAGCAATACTTGACGGTAGGGTTTTCTCCAATATTGTGTAACGATTGGGTCTTTTTTCTACTACTAGCAGGGCACCTTATTTTCATACATCTACCTGAATTCAGTGGAAACGTCTTAAATCGTTAAATTTTTCCAGTGGATTCATACTTTTCAAAAATTATACCTTCAGTTTAGCAGCTATTAATAGGTCTTCCTGGAAGATAACTGAGAAGCTTCTTAACATGCAGCTGTTTCATTTGTCAGACACATAAAAGGTTGATTGTATGGAATTCATCTTGCTGAACGTGAAATGGCAGTAAAGTAGGTCGGTATGTCTGATCTAGTCATCATGGGCTGTCCTTATAGTCAATAAAAAGAAAGGAGTGCTCTTGGGACTGATTTTACTTGTCTAGCTAGATAGCTACCTCAAGATGAAATTTATCATTTCCTAGAGATGTGTATTTCTCTCCATAATCCAATCCAAGGACTCTAGAATGAGTAGTTCAGATGTAAACACCTGTCTTTGGCCAGTAAAAGTCTAATGCCTTTTTCTGCCATTGCCACAAGCATTCTTTCTGAGAGCTTGTATAGGATGCGCAGATCGGTATAATATTGAAATTGTTCATTTGTAGCGGCCCAGATAGTTGGGTGGTGGAGCAGCCTGTAGCAGTTGATACAAAATTCAGTGCAAGATTGATCTTGCCAAAAATAGACTGAGCTGTCAAATATATGTTAAATTGCTTGCCTGTCTTGCGTTATGTTGCATTCTTCTATGTAAAGAAACTCCTGGTTTCAGCTACCTTCCACTGGTCCTCAAGAAGCCTGCCTGTTACAGAGCACATAATACTTTTCCACGTTAAGAAATGAAAGCTTGGTAAATGTGTACAATGAAAATTAAAGCCACAGTAGGAAGTGAGTTTTACTAGCTCATATTTGAATTAAGCATCTCTTGACTTTAAGGAATATGTTAAAATGAACATGAAAAGAGGATTCTTCTTTTTCTAGTTTCTGGGCTTTCAGAAATAACTGGAAAAAATATTCATTCTAGGTTGGCTTTTTTGTAAAGAAAAGCATCATGTTCAGTTTCCTCAGCTATTCATATATATGTCATTATCAGGAGAGGGTTAATGGTTTAACAGAGTGCATTAGAAACTTAATTGTATTTTTAAATTTTTTTTTAAACTCCAATATTTGGCAAATTGCTAGCAATTGTCACCAGACCAAGAAAAAAATCTTGAGTCTGCTGCCAAAGCAAGACCCTACATACAACGTAAGTATATTTTTCTTTACTAGCCTTTGTTTAATTCCTGAAGAAACTAGTGGGCAGCAGCACAGCTGTGGGTATCAAGCAAGCCTCATGGGCGCTTTTGGAGGTACTCAAACGTGCTCATCTGAGGTAGCGAGACGTAAGCACTAGTCCTTTGGTAGTTATGAGTATGTCCTATGCCGGTGAGTAGCAGAGTAGCCTCACTTCAAGTCGGGGAAACCACTTGTAATTGAAGGAAGGCACACATTTATTAAGTAGGCAGCTGCCATGTTCTGCTGCTCTTTACCTGTTTTACAAGAAAGTCTGCTAAACTTTGATTTCAAGTGATAAAGATGTATCAGCATCCCTTTATTTTTTAACGCTTTGACTAGTACACTACCAAAAGATTAAAAATCTTTTTAATATGTTCGGAGCACAGTACTGGAATAGCACTAATTCTGCAGTGGTGCTACTGTGCTTCGTTCCGCACAGTCTGCGGCTGTGCTCTGGTTCTTGAACTGTAAAAGTCTGAACTGATAAGTGAAAACTTGTGATAAGTATTGAGAACTGGAATTGATTTTGAAGTACAACATGCTTACCTTGTCAATTTAAAACAGCCCCTTTTTTTCTTCGCTCATGGCTGACTCCGTGTATGTTTCCTACAATCTGGCAGCTGCAAATAATTTTCCTCCCTTCTAACTTTGCCCCACTATTGAAAACAAGTTTAGGTATTGCTGCATCTTTCATTTCTTTTCATCTTCCTCCTGCTAACAGTAAGGGTTAACTAGAAAAGAAAGATCTGATGGTTTTGGAATTTGTAGGTCTTGGACGTTCAAAGCACTTGTTTTTTCTGCCTAAGAATAAGCTGAGGTGGCAGAGCTATAATCAATATTTTCAATATTTGTGTCCAGAGTGGTTTCTAGCAGAAATACTTCCAGGAAGATCAAACGGACTCTAAAAAGCATAGCTAGTCTCCTATCACTGAACATGTCAGTGTTTGTTTCTAGATCTGAGCGTCACATTGTGATGCTTAGGAGATTTATCAACTGTCACATTAAGCAAGTGCCTCTGGCTATGAACAAAGCAGTGGTAGAATGATATGTGGTAGTAGTACACAAAAGAACTGGCCCTGAGTTGCACATCAGCCTTTCTTAAGCAAACAGTGAAAGATAAAGCTGTATTTTACTAATGTTTCGCTTTGTGGCATCTTTTTTAGGACTGGAGGATCCATGTAGATCAAATGCATCAGCATAAGGATGGAATTGAATCTGCTTTGAAAGAAACTAGGGTATGTCTTGTGTGTGCTGAATATTCCACTGATCTGTCAATGTTTTTATTTTCTCCTTTATTAGATATACATTTAGAGCTAGATTGAAAGTTATTTTATTTTACTTAAGATAATGCTGTACAACTAAAAAGGGAAATTTGAGATGATGATGATTAAGGACAGTGGGACTAGCAAAAGAAATCTTGTGGGAAGCAGAGATGTATAAATGAGGATTAACAGGGATATAACAGTTTATTAACATATCATTAGCATAAGTACATCCTGAGTACAGAGGGTAAAATAGAATAATACGATCTGAATAACAGTTGATTTAAAACAAAAAAAAAAACCAAAGCACTATCAAATGCTGCTGTTAAAATAACTTACTGATGGTGACGTTTGTAATTAATTTGCGGGGAGAAATGATGGAAGCACTATAGCTTGAAGTACATGTTTTGAAGTTGGGTGAAACAGAAGACATCAGGGAATAATTCTTCGTTAGCTATACATAGTGTCCTGTACTATTTTTCTGTTGCTTGTAGGATTCCATATCCTTTCTGAATTACAGCATCATGTTAATACTCTTTATGTATTATCTGAACGCTGTCAGCCTACAGAATATGATTTTCTAGGGTTACCTTGACAAACTTCATAATGAAATCAGCAGAACACTGGAAAAGATCAACAGCAGGGAAAAGTACATCAACAATCAGTTGGAGCATTTGGTTCAAGAATACCGTTCAGCACAAGCCTTGTTGAGTGAGGTAATGCACAAACCTATTGTTGTTCTCTTTTATTAACTCACTATTAAGTATGGGTGAAGAAAAAGAATAATTTGAGGAGTTGCCTGTGAATTCTTCTGTTGGATGTAAACTATGGGGAAAAACTGACTGACTGTCAAATTATATAGTTGTTAAGCTAAATTAGCAATTTTTATTCAGCTATTCTACAAAGGAAAGTAAATGTTTTTTGCATGAAAATTATGTAAATCTGTTGCCAGTCTTGAGCTGCTAGTGAATTGCTAGTTCTGCTTTCCCTGTAAAGTCCACACATCTGTGATGAGTGGAAAAACTACAGTCTCAGTCCAGCATTGATCTCCTACATTGATTACTTGAGCTAATTCGCACAAAGCACTCTGATTCCCACTTTACTTCATTTGGTTCTTGTACCAGTAGAATGCTATTTGAGAAGCTTCTTAATTCTCTAGTTAGGAGTCCGGTGTAAGCTGCCATTTGGCTACCCCTTATTTCTGGGCATCACATAAAAAATAACAGGATTTGACTTTTGTATACTTGCTGTTTACCTTGCTGTTAAACTGAAATATCAAATGTGACTGTTACCTACAGGTAATAAGTCTCAGGTAATAAACCAGGAACACTTGTGTGAGACTTTGCTATATAAACTCAATCTGTTCAAGAAACCAAGTAAAAATGAGGTGTTTTTGATCGCTCTTGATTTTCAGATATATGGGGTAGCGGAGAGAGTTCACTGTAGAATGACTGCAAACATAATTTCAGATTATGTAAAATAGTCTCAAACTATTTTTTTTTTGTAATACCTTGAAAAAGATTGCTGCAGTAGTGTCTTTTGATTTCTTTGCAACTAAAGAAACAGCAGCTTACATTTTCTACTTGAGTCATAAGCTGAAACTTCCAGAGAGTAATTTACCATTGAAGAGAAAGTATTCTGGGTTTCAGTATTCAGTTCTGTCTCCATCTGACAAATTTTCTGTGTGTTTGTTTCCTTGCATGTAAATAATTAGGAAAACCTACTTACTGTGTATGCGTTAGGGCTGTTACTCACAATTTTTACAACTGCTTTAAATTTCTGGATGATACTCATTGTATGGGCCGATGTTTCAAGCCCATCCTCATATATATCGCCTGTTAATGTCATTGGGATTCTGTAGGAGAATTTCTGGGATTGTGACCCATGAGAACAAGTTTTCATGTTATAAATTCTCTGAGCTATATGCATGTATCTCTTCAGCTTTATCATTACAGCAAAAAATGTGCTCCTTTCCAGGCTAGAGAGAAGTACCAGGAGGGAAGTGGAGGAGTAACTGAAAGAATTAAAGTGCTTTCGGAGGTAAAACACTTCTTCATATAATTTGCATTCTGCTTATTTTAAAATAAACTTCAGAGACTTGGTGTTTAGTGTTTGCAGTTTTATAAATCTGTTTTTTTCTGATATGTTTTTGTGTTAAAGCTTAATGTGTTTACTTAGTGAAAGTGTCTAGTCCAATCCCTGAATTTTCATCCCAGGCTGCCATTGACTTATAACTTGTGAAATGAGCAAGCTATTTGTGAGCTCTCCTAATTTCCCTGGTTTGTAAATGAGGGTAAACGTTCTGTATGTTATAGTTTCTTTCCTAGAATTATCGAGGATTAATCAAGTCACATCTATAAAGTCTTTGGAAAAAGAAAACTTCAACTCTTATTTTTGGTAAAAATGAACACAAAAAATAAGATATTTTCACCTTACAAGCATTTGAAACGTTATTTGACTAAAAAGTAACGTTTGGATGCCAATGAAATTATGCTACTACTTAAAACTGTTTTTTTTGGTAATTTTTTTTAAATCCATGTTGTGGAAAAAAAAAAAAGGCTCCTAATTGCCTCAAGATTTTGAGACTTTCATGTCTTTTCTTTCATATTCCCAAATATTTCAACCCTTTGTCCAATTGAGAACTTTTTTTTTAACAGTTCTGTTCTTTGGATTTGAAAAGTCCACTTTGTTTTTTTTTTTTTTTATGCTAATAAGTCTGAAGTAGTCACGTAATAGACCAAGCCATAAGAACTCACTGGAAGTTGTAGAAGAGATTTTGAGACTTTAAGTAGGTAATAATCATAGCAGCTTAACAAAAATTTTCTGTCAAAGATTTATTGGTGTGTGGCTTCTGCAGAACTAGAGCTTCTTTCTATTTCACTCTCCAAGTAGTAATTTTGAAAAATAGAATACGTCATGATGGCTTCAGATTTAAAATGTTTTTGTGCTTTGGAAATTATTGGCAGATTAGTAAACAAAGATGTTACAAGTTGGTAGACTTTGAATTAGGTTAATGCAGCGGTACATATCTGAGTTAAACTAGACGTAATAGGTAGTACCACAAACTTGCTCTCAAGGATGTGATCAAATCTCAGCCCAACTAGACAATATAGATAACACTGTAGGTATGCAATAAAAATGTAGTGACTTTTTTTTTAATTGAAAAAGCTCAATGAAGCCTTAATGAAAGGCTTTTCATTTTTATATTATAGCCAAAAATATTAAATAGCTACCTAGACTGTAGCTTAGATTCATATAGTTGCTTCCTCATCTTCTGTAAAGGCAAACTGGTTGATAGTCAGTGCTGAAATGTATCTTATTCTTCATACATGCATTTCACATACCTCTACCCATGCCAGCAGACTTTGCTGCTACGTTGTCTTTGTCTGCAGTACCATTTCTCAGGGTTCCGCCATCGCTTGCTGAAGCCCGGCCGTTTCCAGGAGAAGGGCTGTCGTTGTGGTCATTTGGTGAATCTTGGTCTGCAGGGATATCGTGCAGTTCTGCACTACAACACTGGCACTGTTCTTTTTATTGTGTTGGGAAGTGCAGATTCTCAGTAATGTTATGGTGCTTGGCCAACCTATTACAATTGTTGTTGTAACTTTTAACACATTTACTTAAAGGTTAATTAAAATTTTTATCGTAGTTGACAAAAATTATTTCTCTGTATACAACAATTAAGACAGATATTTTTATTTTTTTATGAATGCAGTCATTCAGAAAAGGGTTTTTTTTTTTTTTAACTTGACATTTATCTGGTTACTTAAGAAAATATTCTCTAATTTAAGATTACAGAAGAATTAGAGAGAGTAAAGCAGGAAATGGAAGAGAAAGGAAGCAGCATGACTGATGGTGGTAAGTATGTGTCTTGCCTCAAACAAAACACCTGTTTTCTCAGTGACAGATGCATAATTGATCCCTTATTAAAGAAAAATAAAGTCAGAGTAAGGGACTAGTCTAAAATATCAAAATTAAAAATTTTTAAAGTGTCTAAGCAAACTGGGAGTCTTAACCTCTTCCAAAAGGTTACATAGGTCTGTGGAAGCTAGGGATTCCAGCACTTCCTCCCTTTGGTAAATTATCTGTAAAATCTAAGAAAAAAAATTTGGGGCTCTGATTTGAATAATTGGTGACTTACTGGAGCCAGTTCACGCGTTTGCAGGTTCAAGCCCAGTAACTCTCAAATTGTTTCTGGCGGTAGCTATTAGGTTCCTGCTAAGGCTGGCTGGAGTCAGTTAGAAAATTCATTGTGGTGCTTGTGATGGACTTCTGCAATATTTAAAACTATGTAGCTATTTGAATTTTGTATGTAGTTTGTTTCAGGCTCAGGGTTTGGTGGCTTAAGATTTTTTTGATAAAGGGATTCTGTTCCAACTCTGTAAGGAGTGTGAATGCAGAAACAAATTGATGCACATTATCATATGGCTAAATATGCAGGCAGTATCTATATTTAGCTGTAACCACTACAGCTGATTTACTTAAATAGTCACAGCTGTTTTATAAGTATATTTTGTGCAGTCATGTCACTGTGAAGGAGCTATTCACCTACCTTGCAACACCCTTTCTGTATTACGGCATGGCCAAGGATCAGGATAAACTCCAAAGCCTAAAATCATAAGGATCAGCATGATGCAGCAGCATCTCAAGGATGATACTAGTTGGAAGTGAGGAATTAGAAGTTGTGTGTGGAGCACAAAAGGTTTTCATTGCTTTTTCACAGGTAAGATGACCTCCTGCTAAAAAAAAAGATGACCGCCTGCTGAAGGTGTCTTCCATTCTCTACCAAACCCCAAGTCAGCTATGAGGATGAGGCTTGCAGTTGAGCAAAATACATCACTGACAAACCTATCCTAATGTTTATGCACATCTTTATGCAGATCCAAGATGTCAAGAAGACAGCAAATTTGTCACTGTCTATTTCCATCTTTAAAATATCTTGCATATTAAAAATGATGTATCACTACAGTCATGTCTCTAGAGTAGAACGCCCTTTTGTTCATTCAACTCTTCAATTTTAAGGAGTGAATTTTAAGAAAATAATGCTTTTTGTGTTAAGTCAGCTGACAGAGATGCACTATTTATCTTTTTTGAACAGCTCCTCTAGTGAAGATTAAACAAGCCTTAACAAAACTGAAGCAAGAAACTGTTCAGTTGGACATACGAATTGGTGTAATGGAACACACCTTACTCCAATCAAAGCTAAAAGAGAAATCAAATATGACTAGAGATATGCATGCAACAGTGATTCCAGAAACCACAGTAGGTGCCTATTGAAATTGTTTGGAACTGACTTGGTTTGCCCAAAGTACAATTTTCTGTTATTTACTTTTATGTTATTTTGGAGTTTTTCCTTTTGTCTTTCTATTTCGGATGGGTTTTTGGGGGGTTCGTTAGTTGGTTTTTTGTTTGTTTTTTAACAAGGTGCTTGTTGTGCACTTTTAAGTAACATTATGCACACTTTGCAATCAACATAGGCCTATGTTTAGTTTTTTGCCTTAAAGATTTACTGCAGATCTCTTGCAAATGTACTAATAAATTCTTATGAATGAGCGTGTCTACTTCATTGTAGAATGCTAAGTAGTGTGGAAGTGTATAGAACTTTATTGACACAGCCCGTAATCTTTAAACCTGATTAGATATGCTACAGTGCTGAAAGAATATTGCTTGCAGATGAACTGAAAGGAATTTAAAATGTCTATTATTGCCGTTTACATATATTTAAAGCATTTAATTGCTGATATTGAAATAATACAGCATTACCCTTTCTAAAAGCCTAGGTCAAATTTCATTTCAGCTGCAAGTCAGAATAAACCGTTGCTCCACTTTAAGTTTATGAACTGAGCATAGTATTCTAAGGCGTTGATTTCAAGTCACTGGGCCCCACTGAAAATCAAACTGTGGTTGAAAGGCAATCACTGGTTAGCATCGTGACTCCAGGAAGGTCTTTATGGGTATGATAGTGAAGATGAACGTGATTTAATGTTTACTACATCTGACATTCACATGAAAAATGGGCTCTCTTCCCAGCCCTGCATGACTTTAGTTTACTCATGGACTGGCTCTTTTCCTTAGCCCTGTGGTGGGTGGATATGCAGTGTTTCAGAGAAATATCAGTAGAACTGCTTTTGACTGAAATTTTGAGTATTTATACTTCACAATTAGAATGAGGCAGGAAGGGTTCTGCATGTTTCACTATTGGATATATGTTCCTGACATACAGCTCGTCGGTACCATGGGTAGCAAGTTTCTTAACTTTGTCATTCAGTATTTCGTTTGCAAAAAAACAAAACACCCCAAAACTAAAACAAGCCCCCCACCAGAATTTAATAAGTGAAAAGCTATATGTAAATGCTGACTATTATAATTTACCTGTGCAAACAGCTGCCAAAAATCTCTGAATCACACTGGAAATCAGTTTCCAACCTCTTTTGCTGCCTACCTATATCCTCCCACATCCAGCTTAAATTAGAAAAGTTATTCATGTTCCTTTTGTAAGGTGGTGTTGCTACTGCGTATTTACTTTAACAGTAGATTTATTTCAACTTAGGATAAAGCAATCCCTTCTGCATTGCCTGCAAAGCACATAGGTGCTTTTAGATTGCAAATGTTGTGTTGTATAAATGCCATTTATGTAAATTCTTTCCTCCAAAAACTGCTCCTTTGTGCTAATACAACAACTAAAATTAATAAAAACCTTCTCTTATGTGAATCAAGACTCTTCCTGTATTAAAAAAAAAAAAAAAACCAACAACTCTAATGTGGTAGAAAGATCTCTAGAAGGGAAGCTAGTGTCCTTTATGCCAAAGTAATTCTAAAATAGTGTGCTAATTATGTGTAATCAATCTAAATTATTTTTCACTGTACTGTCTGGAACTACATTGGTCTAAGCATGACACTTCTGTTGTCATAAGAGTGATATGTGGCCCTTAATTGTCATGTAGCAAAGAACAGTGTTTCCTAAGGAACAGGAAAATCGCTTGACCCTGCTTTGGAAGCAATCTAACTGAGCCAGCAAGCAGCCACACTACCTTTTTTAAAAGCATGAGGAGAGCAGTAGGGTCTGCCATGAGAAGTCTGAAAGGCTGCTCTAAAAAGCAGTAATCTGTGCAATTATTGCACTGCTGGATCAATGCAGGAAGCAGATGCCATATTAAAACTAAATCACATTATTTCCTACAATGCTTATATCTAACACAAGGTCAGGACTGAAGACTAAGTCCTGATCCTGTAGCTAGAGGTGTCCCCCAGGGGTCAATACTAGGTCCAGTCTTGGTCAATGTATTCATCAGTGACCTGGATGAAGGGATAGAGAGCACCCTCAGCAAGTTTCCTGATGATACTAAGCTGGGGGGAGAGGCTAACACACCAGAAGACTGTGCTGCCATTCCGAGGGACCTGGACAGGCTGGAGAGCTGGGCGGAGAGGAACCTCTTGAAATTCAACAAAGGCAAGTGCAGGGTCCTGCACCAGTCCAGGCTGGGGGTTGACCTGCTGGAAAGCAGCTCTGCCGAGAAGGACCTGGGTGTCCTGGTGGACAACCAGTTAAACATGAGCCAGCAGTGTGCCCTTGTGGCCAAGAAAGCCATTGCTCTCCTGGGTTGCCTTAGGCAGAGTGTTGCCAGCAGGTGGAGGGAGGTGATCCTGCCCCTCTCCTCAGCCCTGGTGAGGCCTCACCTGGAGGTACTGTGTCCAATTCTAGGCTCCCCAGTACAAGAGAGACGTGGCGCTACTGGAAAGAGTCCAGGGGAGGGCTACAAAGATGATGAGGATGGAGCATCTCTCCTGTGAAGAAAGGCTGAGAGAGCTGGGCCTGTTTAGCCCGGAGAGGAGAAGACTGAGAGGCGATCTCATCAATGCGTACAAGTATCTGAAGGGAGGGTGTCGAGAGGATGGGGCCAGCCTCTTCTCCGTGGTGCCCAGCGGCAGGACAGGAGGCGACAGGCACAAACTGAAACACAGGAAGCTCTGTCTGAACATGAGGAAAAACTTCTTTCCTGTGAGAGTGACAGAGCATTGGAACAGGTTGCCCAGAGAGGTGGTGGAGTCTCCTTCCCTGGAGATATTCAGAACCTGTCTAGACACAATCCTGGGAAATATGCTGTAGAGGACCCTGCTGGAGCAGGAAGGTTGGACTAGATGATCTCCAGAGGTCCCTTCCACCCTCAACCATTCTGTGATTCTGTGTGATTCTGTTATGGAATTAAGGTGCTCGTAAGATGTAGGGGATAGGATGTAGTAGGGTACATGTGAAGCTGTAGTGTGCTATAAAACATTCCCTTATCTTCTGAAGAGTATTCAGAAATGGAAGTACTATTCATGACATTTAACTCTTACGTAGAGGTCTCCTCTTGCAAAGTCCATTATTGGTTTCACCTTTCTGACATATACCAGCATGAAGATACAGTGTCATTTAGAAGCTAGCTGTAGACAGGTCTGTAAGGAGCGCAGATGGAGGAAGAACAGGCATTTCCTTAGCTGCATCTGATCAGAGAAGCCATCATCATTGTTGCCATAAGGACTGTAATAGTTTAGTCCCTTATGTGGCCCTAGCAAGAGCTGAGACTTGGTCCTTGGAGATGTGTGACTGGGAAAGCTCATCAGTAGCCAGCTTTCTCCTGCATGTACTCCCCTAAGTTCCAGAGAAATGCTAGCAACGTATTATTTCTTAGGGTTTCTGCTGCTCTAAAGTCCCTCTGAACCTCATAACACGATTCAGTGTCTTACCTAGTATACAGCATCTCTAGGGCTCTAATCTCGAGGCTAGAATGCAACGGATGCAAGTACCATACTAGAAACTGGGAATAGACTTAATGCTGTTAACTGTAGTGAAGGTGCTGTCTGCAGCCCGTTAGGGTGTTTGAGAGCGATGCCAAGATTATTAAAGTAAGAAGATAATAAATACAATACTCCATTCCAATGCTCGTTCTCTTCTAATGTCAGCAGATAGCATGATTTGCTGAATAACATGTGCTCTGCTGGTAAAGAATACAAAGTAAGGGCTGGATTTTTACCTCTTACTCCACGGGAGATTCTCTATATTAGAACTAGATTGAGTGACTTAACACTGAAGTAGCAAGAGCTAAATAATGGTTTTTGAATCATATGCTAAGAATTCAGTATTTCGGTGATGACCCAAGTTAGTTTCAACGAGTGCTGTGCAGAGAAAGTGAATCGAAAGTTCACATGAGTTTGAGGAACTACTAAGTGTGTTATAAACAGCTCCCAGATCTGGTCAAAGCATTCCCGTTCTTTTCTGCAGATAGTGTTAAAAGTCTTTTCCCCTGCCCCAACCCCCAATGAGGGGAACTTGGAAAAAAGCCTTTCTTGAAAAGGAAAACAAATGTCCATTTACTGTTAAACACTGGCACTTTCTTGGAGTGTAGCTCTGTAATGCACTGTGACATACCAAAAAAATCACCATAAATATTACTATGAGTTACAGTAAGAGCAATTAAGTTATCTTTGCATGACATATCAATAAGGCTGAGCAGGAATCAAGAGCCTGCATGTGAACTTTTCCAGCTTCTGAGCTCTTGAATTTTTGCATCCAAATTTTGCAGCCTGGGCTTCTATCCAAAATTGACAAATGCTAATTAAAAGAGAAGAAATTAGTGTGAAGCTGTTTCTTTTGATGCTGGCTCTCATCCCGCTCCCTGAATGTCAATGCTGCAGTATGCCCCCACAGTGTGCAGCTGCACGTGCATGTGCACATGCGTCGAACACGCACGCCTGCCTGTCAGTTTGCTGAAACTAGCTGTTGATTTTGGCAGCATAAAAACATCACTGAGAATACTCTGTCCCAGGCCCTGCAGCCTCACTGCTTTCCACTTTCATGTTGATGTATTACAGTGTTTTGAAATGGCTGCGTGTTTTCTGAAAGGCTTGAAATAAAACTTGGGAATATCCTGGCCTATGACATCAGCACCTGTGAGCTTAAGTAAACAGATGATATGAGAGCCAAGGTGTGTATCATTGTTCAGAGGCGGGGAGTTTCCACAGAAGGCTATGAGGTTGCAAACGATTTTTTTTCTGCTGCTTCCTCCTCTTAATGTATTTCTTCCTTCAGCAAATGCCATTACAATGGTTTTCTCAGATATTGGCTAATACTTGGTTGTTGCTCCAGGGCGTGGTGTTGCTGGAAATGTCTTCCAGGTTCCTAGAAACAGCCCTACCCTTTTGGAAATAATTATTCACAGGCAACACTGGCATGAGTGGGGTTGAGGGCACGTTTTTTTTGAGAGCAAATATCAGTTTGAATAATGCTAGTCTTTTGCTTATCGTATACAGTTTGACTTTGTTATTTTTAGTTCCTGGTCCTAATTAAGAAGGCTTGTACCTCAGCACTCCATGCCGGAAGTGGCTGAGACATGCTAGTCATTCACATGTCTCTTAATTTCTCTGTTGTAAAAATTAACAAAGATGAATATTTTAAGGTCAGAAGTACAGAATAATTATTTTTAACAATATTCTTCTTGATGACTCAGTAATCATAACTGTTCATTCAAAATATTCTCCTGTTTCTATGGCTTTCAAGGGATGGCAGTACTTTAAACATCTTAGTGCTATTCAGCAGTAGCTTGAAGAATTAAGCTGTGAATTGTAGCCATGCCTTGGACTAGTTTTCCAGTCCCTGCTCCTCTGCTCTAGTTTTAGGGCTGAAGTTTCTTTTGGGGAGGGTGGAGAAGGGGATATATACTTTCTTGTAAGGTTTTTGAGAGATTTCGCTATCCTTCTCTCAGTATTGCTGGTCCATGATCATGTTACCTCCTTTCAAAGAACCCATCTGGGAGAGAATAAAGGCCATGAGTCAGACTAAGAGACACAGGCCGATTGTGAAATTTTGCGGGAAACTAGAAAAAAAAGTCATAGAAGGTTTAAAGAGGTTTTACAATCTGTTGATCATTGTTTTCTTTGCTAGAGGAAGTGCACAAGTTCCCAGTATGATGGCAAGAGGGATTTCTGCTGAGTTTGACAAATGCTATCAGACAACAGTAAAAACAGTGGAAACTCTGTGATCTTAAGAGTGCCATTCAGTAATTTTGCACTAATCTGTCTAGCAGCCATTTCAATACAGCTTTCAATACAATGCCCATAATATGCCTTATAAAAACAAACTTGGGATTTTTCATCATCTTCAGCTGTGCCATATGGCAACAAAGAATAAAAACTATTTTTATGAGAAGACTTTGTTCCTGGGCCAAAAAGGTGTACTCTGGGTGTTCCAGGCTGGGACTATGTTTTAGTGCTGGAAGTACTCCGCTACTCTGACATTTCTGCTTTAGCAAGAATGTACTTACACTAAGAATGGGTTTGCAAAATCTCTATTGAAGAACAGAATTGCAGATAACTGCGTTAGAAAAGACATACAATTGAAGGTCAATTAGGTTTTCTTTCTGTTTTGTTCAGGATTGATAAATAGGTAATATTCAAACTGACAAAATGAAAAAGCATCCTTTGAACAGCTTTTCCATAGTCTCTTAGCTTAAATATAGAAAATTTGCCTTCACGTAGTTATATTCCCTTCAGTGCTTCTAATTAGTCCTCCATTTCTCTTTACTCTTAGATGTGCAGCTTATTCCTCCATGATGATGATTCCCTTCAGATATGTAATGACAGAGATTTTGCATTTCATAGTTAGAATGTCTTCTGTAAACATTCAGAGATTGCTTATACAGGCATGAGCCAAACTAGCACTGCAGGCATAAAGCA